TGTGCGTGTGTGTATGGGCTTTTTTAATAGGTACATGAAATCTTTAGGTTTTTTCCACTTTCTTCCACAGATACCTGCACTAGTTAGTGGCTGGTCCAAATCTTCCTCACTGTGACTTGGTCAATCTGAGAAAATGTCAAGAGACATATTTTGAGTCATATCTTCATAGGCAGTAACGTGAGAGAAGATGAGAACAGCAAAGCATTTCAGATTCCAAGCAACAGATCCAGACAAGCTGAGGACTTGGTTGGTTGTCTGGGGTTTTTCTGTTTCTACCTGAGACTGATTTTTACAGAGGTTTTTGTCCAAACATCACATGGCTGCCTTTGCTTCTGCAGTGAAGAACTTAAAAACTCTCTGGCAAATCCAGGGCTGAGGAGCACGTTGGCTCTTGCATTTCCATGTCTGACTGTGACTCCATTCAAGCCATACACAGGTACTTATTCAGGTTGAGCATAGCATTTGCTATATAGGCACCAAACAGTTGAGTACCTGAGTACAAGTGAGTTCTACCTCAACATGGAGGCTTAGCACAGAAAGACACGGGAGCTGTGGATCAGCTTTATCTTCTCACCTACTATAGGGGTCCTCTTTCGGACTTAAATATCCAACTATGTCCCCATTGGCCAAGCAATGTGGCACATTATAGGAATGATAAGGAAAGAACTAAGTGAGGAACCCCAGGAAATACAGTCCTTCATAAGGACACAAAGTCATGAGAGGTCAGCAGGCACCAGAGCCACAGCCTCAAGCAGCAGCACATCACCACCACTTACAGCTTAATTTAAGTGCCTTGGGAGGACCGAATTTCAGGGAACCATGCCCAGCAGGGTATTTTTTCCTCTTCATTAACTTGTTGCATGAGTAAGAGGAAGGCTAATCCAGCCATACGTCTGCTGAGCAGTACTAAGCAATGTAACCCATCATTTAACTTTGTTTGCAGTATAGACTTTTGCCTTGGAAATTTGAATAGAAGCTACCTCAACCAAAACAACTTTTCCCTTTTTGCCCCCCGAAGCTGCAAAGAATTGTACATTTGAAAACAGACATCAGGCCTGCGGCTTCACATGGCGGGTAAGGCCCAAAAGACAGCAACAAGGGAGAGGATTCAAGGCTCAGAAATCGCTAGCGAGGGTGTTAGCAGCAGGCTGAAATTTTTTAAGCAGTATGGTGTATATGGGGGATGCACCGAAGCTCGGCAACGCTGCCGATGTGCTCAGGATTGCAGGACAAACTGTGTGAAGATGGATTTGGAAAGGCACAGAAGAATCACACATTGCAACTGAGTCATTCCTGCGAGAAGAACTGACTGTTTCAGCAGCAATCTGAGGGGAAAGAGACCAAAGCGAGATTGCTTCAGATCTACAGCCAAAGCAAGGCAGAGATCTAGGAGCGCCCAAGGGAAGGGCTGCCATTTCTGACTGAGTCTAAGCTCTCTTTCCCAAAGGTTGTTTCATTTCCACAAGCAACGTGATGGTTTGAGACACAGTCCAGGCAGTTGATCTCATGGAGCAGCTCTCTCTATTCATATACTGCCTTTACAAACTGTACACTAAAATGTTTCCACAATACGCTGATATACAGAGACAAATACTTCAAGTGTAGTCCCAAATCTCACACCTATCTGCTCATAAAGAAAAAAAAAATAAAAGGAAAAAGGTGAAATCTTTAAGTCTTTTACATTCATAGTTACAATTAGTAACTCTGGAAGATCCTTGTGAGCGACAGTAAGTTGGTGAGTTCAGGTAATTAGCAGCGATGACTGGGCAGAGCGGAGTGGGAAGGCTACCAGTCTTGGTATATTTTCCGAATGAAAATGCACTTCATTTTGAAAAACAAAAGAAAAAGAATAGGATTCAAAAGAGGAGGCTGCCTTATATGCTATAAAGCAACCATCCACCAAAAAGTAGCGTCCTGTTACACACAGGGAACACTTTGTTGAGCCATAGACCAACCTGAACGTCACAAGCACTGCATTTCACTTTGCCACCAATCAGGAAAAGCAAATAGCGACAATTTTTAGGGACAGATAAAAACAAACAAAATGGTACAACCACTGCGTTCATCCAGAAACCGTCTGGCTGTGGAGGAGCAGGGCAAGTTCATGAGCTGTTAGTCAGTAATGTCCGCTCCTTTCCTAGCATTGGACTGTCTTTTCAGATGAAAATATATTATTTTCAAGGGAAAAAAACCATAAAACCTGCAAACAAGCGTACATTTTAATGAATAATTATCATTCTGGGAAAAGTCAGAAAATGGAAATACAGGTTTTCACGCTTCCCAAAGGAGCATTTGTCACCTACCCCAGCCCTGGGCAGGGATTGCCTGTTACAGGCAATATTACTCTCTCACGTCAGGAAAACAAGCTCAGGCACAACGCAGACTGCTGTGAGGAGGCTACAGATTACATGGGGGTTTTACCATATTCTCTGTTACTACAGCAATGTGCAGATGGACCAATTTAAAGCTATGAATAAAGTATACGAGATTCAGGTAAGCAGACAGCTCCCATGACAGAACGCATACCAACTGCTGCCCTTTTGGAGACCCACAGTCTCCTCAGATAGGCTCATGTTTGGTCTGAATCCAGGTCCACGTCCAAGCTAAGAAATAGCTTAAATTGTTCAAAAAATTGGCATAAGTGTAGGCAAAACAGCATATTTCATTTCTTCATTAAAAAATCATTTGAACTTCACTCAGCGTTAGCCTACATAGAATTTTATTTCATAATTGATTACCAAAGGTGATGCGAAACCATCAAACAAATTTCAAGTATGGCTACATCCCACTGACACCAATGGTAAAGTCAAGCTTAATATGTCAGGTTTTCAGTGTTGATGACTCTTTAAAAAGGCCATCTCCCAATAAATTATAGGTATCCTTAGCAGAAGTTTAGAATATATTAATTCTAAAATGAAAAGAGAATCTCCAACGTTTATAAAGCTGCTCAAAAACAGACTTAAAAAAAAAATTAAAGGACCTTTACAATGTGTAAAAAAAGTTGGATTAAAAGACATTCACTGACTTGATTTATTCTCCCTGTGTAAAACGTGGCCAAACCTTCCAGGAAAACAATCCCAAAAACGTCAGGGAAACAGCGACCATCTGATAGAACTCCTTGCTGTGGGAAAACACAAGTGGTTTTTCCCAGGCTGTGCTGCTGAGCTTTTCAGGCTGTCTCAGAACCCCACACGTGTCGTACCTCCCCATGGGAGAAGAAACATTTTAAATGCAGTATCAAAACAGCAAGAAGAAAAGTTTTTAAAACCTCACTGATGACACAACTCCCCTCTTCCAAAGACCTGTAACAAGTCTATTTTCAAAATCCCTTTCTCACCAAATAAATTTACAAAACCAGAGGGCAGTCTGCAGATTTATGCCCAAGAAAAAAGCTTGCAGAACCGAATCCTAATTCTGTAAAGCATCATTCATGGCTTACAATGTCCCCAGGGTATACTACTATGTCCAGTTATATGGAGCAATAAAAATAAATAACATTTACTGCAGCTAAAAGGAATAATTCCTTTATCTTTTCGTGCCTAAATCAGACACCTGCTGAAATAATAGTCATGTATTTGAAATTCAGTGAGAAAGCAGTAGAAGATTCAGGATCCTACACAAAGGATTAAAGCATCATAAATATGCTAGAAGAGCTACGCATTGCTACGTGCCTATTCTGCTGGTGAATGGAAAAGGAAGAAGGAAGGGTCTTCAAGGAAAGTAGCCAAATGCAACTGAAGCAAATGCAAAAAGCATTTCAGGGCTATATTTAGAGGAAGACATTCTTCATACACTTGCCAAGCTATTCACGTCACTCCGCACAGCATGTTTTATCCAGCGTTATGAGTCTATGAGGGAGCGGGGGGTGGTGGTGGTGCTGTGCAGAATCTGGAGCAGCTGCCAGAAATGGAAATCTTGCATTTATGTAGAGGAATTAATATTTTCAGCATGTGAATTCAAGAGTACTTTCCAAATGGGGGGGGGGGGGGGGGGGGGGAAGGAGAGGACAGGGTGTTAAACTTTCTACAGCTATCGCAGAAGGATTCTGCAGTACATATTTTATAAGTAACACGACCTAGCATCTAATATTCCCTTTTGAGCCAGGCTCATTAGCCTTAGCTCCATCACTACAAATACTAAAACCAGTGAATTCCACTTCAGCTGGTATAAACTAGTGGAAGACCTGTCCATATTCATGTCTGTAGGATACATTATTTAGATAAGCAATAAATAGCAATAAAAGGAGAACAAGCCTGATGAGGAGCGGCTGAGGGAACTGGGCTTGTTCAGCCTGAAGAAGAGAAGGCTGAGGGGAGACCTCAGCACCACCTACAACTGCCTCAAGGGAGCTTGGAGAGAGGTGGGTGCTGGGCTCTTCTCCCAGGTGATGGGGGATAGAACAAGGGGAAACGGCACCAAGCTGTGCCAAGGGAGGTTCAGGTTAGAGATAAGGAGGAAGTTCTTTCCTGAGAGGGTCGTCAGAAGCTGGCACAGGCTGCCCAGGGAGGTGGTGGAGTCACCATCCCTGGATGTGTTTAAAGAGCGGGTAGATGAGGTACTTAGGGATATGGTTTAGGGGGTAGACAGGAACGGTTGGACGTGATGATCTCAGAGGGCTTTTCCAACTGAGCGATTCTGTGTGATTCTGTGTGCGATTCTGTGTGCAATGACATCCTTCTCCTCTATAAAATAATAACAGTCTGAGAGGAATAAAAAACGAAACAGAAGCTCAAAGGTGAAAACAGAAACAAAAGTACTCTGTTATAAGACACATCATTATTATTCTTTAACTCATTTAGCACATGTCATGAGGTTCAGCTATCTGCATAAAGAAATGTCAAGCATACAAAGATATGTCAGTAATATGTAACGGCAACAGGAACAAACCACATGGAAATTTCCCCTCAGTGACCTTCTGGAGGGAGAGGATGGCATTAATTTGAGATACAAGATTGGTTTTACTTCAATTTAAACAAATTATTTCCGTAAAACGTTTTTACCTTCATTCCCTTCTCCAGGCGGCTGGTAAAACGAAAGCCCCAAAGATATGATGGCTGCAATTTCCAAGATTATAAGAGTCACATCCTGCAACGCTTCCCAGACTAGCTGTAAGAATGTTTTTGGCTTCTTTGGAGGTATAAAATTTTTTCCAAAAATAAGCTTTCTTTTTTCTAGGTCTGCAGCAGTGCCAGCTAATCCTGTAAATAGAATAAAATAAAATAAGATCAATTAAAATTGCAGTGAAATAGAAAACGCCCACTTATATCTGCATTTCTATGAATTATTTCTTCAGGAACAATCACAAGCTGTACCACCTATGGTGTATTAACAAATAAGTAGATTTTTCCACTTAAATTTTGCTTTTGAAAGATGATTTGTCCTTATGTTATGAAAAGAATGCTTATAGGCAATATTTAGTAGTAATTCCTGCCAGTTTTCATCGTAAAATAGTCATTGAATTTACTGTAATGAGACTTATGTATATAGACACATACATGTAAGCAATGATTTCTGAAAAATGGATCATAAAGCACAAGTTATATTTGGTATGAAGTTGCAAGAACTGTTGGTAGCTTTTGGCAGTATCAGTAGAAGATGCATACGTGTCTTTGTTATGTATATAAATCACATAAATCATATAAATCTTATAATAAAGCATCTCATGCTCTACTTCCTCTTTTTTTGCACAGGTACTGCCACGCAGCCACTGGAATGAACTTCATCAGACTTCTGGTAACTGCAAAAAACTCAGCCAAAGTGACAGGTTATCTGTGCAATGAAAGCAAAAAGGAAACAATATGGTTCCTTAAATCGATATAAAAACACACGTGCTTTGTATGAAACTTCAACTTAAGAATATTTCAATTTGTGTTGGTCGACAGTCGGCTTCACATGAGCCAGCACTGTGCCCACGTGGCCAGAAAAGCCAACGGCATCTTGGCCTGTATTCAAAACAGTGTGACCAGCAGGGCCAGGGAGGTGATCATCCCCCTGTACTTGGCACTGGTGAGGCCGCACCTCGAGTGCTGTGTTCAGTTCTGGGCCCCTCACTAGAAGAAGGATGTTGAGATTCTGGAGCGTGTTCAGAGAAGAGCCACAAGGATGGGGAGGGCTCTGGAGAACAAGCCTGATGAGGAGCGGCTGAGGGAACTGGGCTTGTTTAGCCTGGAGAAGAGAAGGCTGAGGGGAGACCTCAGCACCACCTACAACTGCCTCAAGGGAGCTTGGAGAGAGGTGGGTGCTGGGCTCTTCTCCCAGGTGATGGGGGATAGAACAAGGGGAAACGGCACCAAGCTGTGCCAAGGGAGGTTCAGGTTAGAGATAAGGAGGAAGTTCTTTCCTGAGAGGGTCGTCAGAAGCTGGAACAGGCTGCCCAGGGAGGTGGTGGAGTCACCATCCCTGGATGTGTTTAAAGAGCGGGTAGATGAGGTACTTAGGGATATGGTTTAGGGGGTAGACAGGAGCGGTTGGACGTGATGATCTCAGAGGGCTTTTCCAACCGAGCCATTCTGTGATTCTGTGATAATTTAAGGGGACAGCATTAAGAATGTGTGGTTGCACTTAACACCACCACTTAGGTGGTTTTTTTTCCTTTTTGTTATATTAATTAACTAATTAATATTTACACAGACACACGAAAAAGCCAAACCAAAACTTGCAAGCATTAGGGTGTAACACCTGCCCATACACTGCCCTCAGCAGCACAAAGAACTGCAATAAGCTAAGTGGTTACATATTTCTGCCAAATAATACATGACATCACTTGGAACGCTTACAGAACTGTAGGTTTTGGCTGCGACCAGCAATGTAAAGTCATTCACGCTTATTCACACTAACATGACACCACACTTCATTGTGAGTTCATCACTTTATTGAGGAGTTCAACTTGGAGGACTGCAAAGGTGTCTGCAAGAGAGCAGGAGGAAGCGATCCCACACTCTGAGGAGCCCTCTCCTCACACAGTTTAGGCTAAGTCCTTGCCCAAAGAGTATCAGCACCTACAGGGTAATTCAGGAACGGAAAGCCCTACATCTTCACAATGCCAAGCAAAGGAAATCAGGATGCTGCTGTGCTAACAGCACTCGGTGTTACGTCTCGGTCCCCCAGGGCTGGTACAACTGCTCCCAGCAGTGCACATGTGCCACTAAGCCACGTCTCGGATGGAAACCTCAGGCCCAAGCACAACTTCCTCAATACCAAAGCAAGGCTTTTCTGAACGTATCAATCCTGCCACCACGCAGGCAAAGAGGCTGACTCACCTTTCACTTTGGGTATATAATTACAGCTGCTGCGCAGCTTCTGGCTCTTGGTTAACTCATCAAAATTTCATTTCACCTTCAGCTTCTAAGAAACACTATCCATCTCTCCCACATAAAGGCATGCTGTAGTTATTATTACCTCACTTCATTTAATTTTCAGCACCTAGTGCTTCGTGACACTGGAACAGACAGGTCCCAGCTATTATGAAGTGTGTCTATGTTATTCTTCGTGATTCAAACAATAACATGTCAAACCTCTCAGCGACTCCAGCAGCTCCCAGTCAGCTTCCAGTGGGAGGTAAACGCTTTCCCTTATGAAATATCAGTTGCAGGCTATGAGCTGTTTGAGGAGTAGCCCTTCTGTGAACCAAGGCAGATGACAGAACTTGGGACAACACATGTGAGAGTTCAGGGGAGTCGCTTTCCACCCATGGGATCTGACACAGGGACAAGCCTTTAGCAGAGACCAAGCCAAAGCAGTTTGCTTGGCTTTCAAAAGGCAGCAAAGCCCTTCAATGCAAGAAAGGATTTACACTAAAAATGGCATGGACAGTTTGCGCTTGTCCCCCAAAACACAGGCTACTCCAAATACAGTAGTGACTTCATACATAAAGGGGAAAGTGCATTGACAGCACTGATAGTGGTAGGGATCTGGGGCTGAAATGTTCATATAATGCATCGACACGCAGCAATACAGAAGTCTGAAACAGAGAAAACTCCGAAGCACGTTGGAAAGTGGAAGGAAGAGATGTCTGAAGACCACCCCTTGCAACACAGAACACGGGTGCACAGTGGGGGGCAGCTCCAGCAGGCGACTGGGTACTCAGCAGCACGGAGGGATGGCTGACACAGCACAGCACTTGTATTTCTTATACTGTACATCATATTTACCTAGACACGGTGAAATCACAACTCAGACATTATACTTCACTGCCAGGAGGCCCCAGAAAGTACACGCGTGTCCTATGTTACTGATCATAACACATGTGTAAATACCTGTGCATACTGAGAAGCCTCCAGAGCAAGCAGAGACACTGGAACTCAGAGAGCTGTGTTTTCTCCAAGACAAAAAATGTTCATTTAGACACCACAGGGTTGAGGACAGGACCGAGTTTAAAGCATCTATGGTCACCATTATCTTCCAGACTATAGTCAAGTAACCTACATTGGAATTTAGATCTAAATTTTATTTAACTGTACTGTTTCATTTTTTATAATAAATATTCTCTTCCTTGGGACCCATAAATAGACAAGGGCAAACCACGTGCCTGAATTTTTTCTTTTCTATTAAGTCTATGCCTTGGTGAAATGACTCAAGTTGGTCTCACCTAAAAAAAAGAGCACGTTCATCTTTAATTATGAAATGTATTTTCTTCTAAATCATTTAGAAATACTCAAAAATGAAATTCAATGTTCAAACCCAAATGTTTCCTTCCTCCTGAGATCTGGCCATCACTCAAAAAAACCCCATTGGTTTTGTGGGTTTTTCTCTCCCACTGAATCTAACAAAATCCTGTATTTACAGCGAGACAGAAAGGAAAGGAGAGGTCAAAGACGTCTACAGAACAACTGATGAAATCACATCGCAGCAGCGCCAAGCATTACTGCAGAGATAAGGACAGAAAGGGACAATAAAATACACAGAGACACCGAAGTTATACAGAGAGAAACAGCTAAGGAAGCTGTGACTGAGAAACTGAGGCAGTGTAAAATGTTTCTTTTGCAAAAGCCTCCATAAATTCTCCATACAGTTGCCAGCAGAAGGTATTTCAGGGACCCTCTTTATCTTTTTCAGATCATCTTCTTTATTCAGAAGCATTATTTCAAACAGCCGTAAAGGTGTTTAGAGCAAGCCTAACTTGGTTGCTTGAAGAGCCTTAGAGGTCGCTCGCGCTTTGCGTGGCGCTGGCAGCTCTGCAGGATGCCGCTCTGCTGCTCCTGCGGCGCTGACGGGCAGTGCAGATGGCAACCACGTCCACCAGCACAGCCAGAGCCGTACGTGGACACCTGTCCTCAGCAGTGCCTTCGACCAGGAGACGGCTTTCCTGCTGCTAGGTTATCTTACGGGGTGTTTTGAGATTACACATACTGACTTCATTACTATTCCTGAATATATTTATATATATATATATATTTATTT